GATATTTTTTAAGTTTAATAACTTTAATAAGAATTGTATCTATTTAATGTATTTCTGATGCTTATTATTAAAAAAATTTGTTATATATATTAATTTTTATTTATCTTTATATTCTTTAATAAACAATTTATTCTCTTTCTTTAATAAATAATTTATCTGCTTTCCTTAACAATTAATTTATTATTTTTTTCAGTAAATAATCTATCTTTTTTTTTATTATTATTCTTTTTATAATTCTTATTCTACTTTTATATTATCTTTTCCTTTTAATTAATATTTATTTCTTTATTTATATTCTATTATACTTTTTTGTACTTTATAGTTATTTTTCTTCATTTTTATTAAAATTATTCTAATTTTTCATTATTTATTACTGAAGTATCTATTATTTTTCTTTTTTATATTTATTATTATTTTTTATTTAATATAAATATTTCAAATATTTTTCCTTTTCATATCTTTATTATATATATTTTTTATTTTATTTTAATATATTATTTTCTTTTATTCTATTATAATAATATTTTTTATCATATTCTTTTTTATTTTCTTCAAACTTTTTATTTAATTATTTTAAAATTATCTTTTAATTATTATTTTAATTATTTCTTTTAATATTATTATTATTTATTTTAAATATTATTATTTAATATAAAATAATCAATTATTAATATATAATATTTTATAATATTTTAATATTAAATTCTTATTAATTATTTAAAATATAATAATTATGTATAGTTTTATTACTAAGTTAAGAATTGTCTTATTATATAAAATAAAATTTTATTTTATTTATAATTAATCAATTTGTAAATTATTCTTTTAATTCCTATTTTTTTTTTCTAATTTTTTTTTAATATTTCATGTAATTTTTCTTATTCTTTTTTATCATTCATAAAGATTATTATATATTTTATTATATATTTATTTATTTATAATTTAAGTTAAAAATTACTAATTAGAAATTTGTTTTAATTAAATTATTCTAACTAGTATTAATGATTGTAATTTTATGTAATAAATAATGATAGAAGATTAAAAAATTAATTATATATAATTATAATATTAGATTAAAGAAAAAGTATTCTATTTATTTAATAAAATATAGATTTATAAGAAAACAATCTTTATTTTTTAGATATATATCTTAAAATAATTAATGCTATTATAAAATTTTTTATTAATATTACAATATATTCAAAAAATATATATTATTATTATTATTACTAATTAATTTAAATAGATTTATATGATAACAGCAATTTCATATTATTTAATTTACTATAACTTATTATATATTAATAATACTATTTATTTTCTTATTATAGAATTATATATATATATTATTAAATAGTCAGAAATTAATATTTTTTTAATATTAATTTTTTTGATTATTATAAATTTATTTTTAAAGAAAGAAACTATTTACATTAAAATCTAAGCTATGGTATATAACTCTTCTTTTAGAAATTTCTCATAATATTAGATAATAAATTTCTATAATTATTAAAACTATTTGAACTTCTATATAAAAATGTTAAATATTTTGTATTTAAAGATCTTTTTAATAATATAATTCTTTTAGTTCTAAATATTTATATTATATTTTTTTAAATAAGTGATTTTAATACTTACTTAGAATCTTATTTTTATATTTAAATAATATTTCTTAAGTTTAATTATAAAAACTATAATAAAGTATTATTAATATTTCTTTTTGATATTTATTATTATGAATTGAACAATTATTTAATTTTAAAGATTATTAAGGCTGAATTTTTAAAATTTTTAGATTTAATAATGAAAATATTTCATAATTATAATATAAGAATACATAAAATATATAGATATATAGTAGATTATAAAATATAAATATTATATTAACTATTTTAATAATAAATTTAGAAAATTTTTGTATAACATATTTATATAAGCTAACTATAAATACTATGAATAGGTAAATATGACGCAGTTTATGTATGATGCAGGAGATTGACTAATTTAATATAAATAATATATAATATATTAAATATATATAATATAATCGATATATTCGATATAGTTGACATATTAAACATAATTGATATATTAGACATAGTTGATATAGTAGACATGTTAGTTATATCTTTCTATGTAATTTATTTTGTATAAATAGATAACTTTTTAGTTCATGTAAAAAAGATAGAAAAGATAGGAACTTGACAAGTTAGTCTTCAGTAGTTTTAAAGGCAACTAGTCTACCACATTACATTCTAGTTTTAGTATTTTATTTCTTTTCTTTTCTTATTTTATGTTCTTTATTTCCTTTTATTTTTCTTCTTTTATTTTATTATTTACTTGTGAATAAATATATTATTTTACAAATATAAATTACTAACAATCTGTTGAATCACTACTTGTTATAATAATATAAGCCTTTTTAATAATCAGTCTGAAATAAAATTCGTAAACTGTTAAAAGATACTGCTTAATTAAAAAGAATAAACTGTTCAAATACCCTGTCTAATAGTTATAATTCATAAGAGTTATACATTAACATTTGATGATAATGACAGGACCATATTTTTCTAATTAGTGCAATAATAACTCATAAGAATACTAAAGAAAGCATATGAGTTTTGCAGATATAATTTAATATTGAGAATAACTGAGAAGAATATCAAAGAACCTTAAGAAAGGAAATAGAGGAAATTAAGTATTGAATTAAAATTACACAAAAGTTATACAAAAACTTAATGGATAGTACCCATTATTTCTAATCTTATAAAAGCTTGTGTAATATTTTAGTTATATAAAACTCACTGAAGTTCATCTGACCAAATGCTAAATCTCAATTGGATAAAGGAAATAATAAATGCAATTTTAGAACTAAAATTATGGACATTATTATTTTAACTTTGATAGATCAGAATTTTACAAAGTTTAGACCATTAGAATCGTCAAGAATCATAATGACATATGGGTTGATTGCTAGGAAAATCAGATTCTGGGAATTTTTTAGCGAAATTGAGATTTTTATTGCACTTTAGTTTTTGATATTATTAGATTAAAATGTATTAAGCTCTTAATTTTAGTCAAAAATTTCTCGGAATCTGATTTTCTTAGAAATACTCCTATATGTTTTATTTAAATCAGATCACTAGATGGTAAGATAATTAAAAAAAAATTATTCTATTTTTATTATTCAAGGAATGAGAAACAAGAGTGAAAGCGAAAGTATTAACAGTATGATTGGCAGTTCTTAAAATAACATGAATTTATAATAATTATACTCTTTTAAATAGTTTTGTATAGTCAAATACGTAATAATTTATTATAAAAAAAAAAATTTTTTTTAATTCAATTGATCTTTATGAAAAATAAGATACACTGGGAATTGATAACGATTACTATTCTCTACAAGTTGATTTTAAATAAAGTTAAAACACCTTCAAAGTCATTCTAAGGTTTTTAAGTTAATATTTCCCTCTCGACAGACAAACTGAAAATCATCATTAAGCTTTTTATAATTCTCTTGAAGTTTTTGATTCTTGTCTTTTTCTTGAATCAAATCCTCTTTCAAACGTTTACACTTAAGAAAAATTTAGCAGTTTGATTCAAAGAAGCTGATAATTGATTTTCCAAAGTTGATATTTTTGTTTAAAGATCTTTTTAGTCCTGAACTTCCTCTTGATCTTTTTGACATAAACCTTTAGTTTAACATAAGGAAAAGTGTTAGCCATTGCTGCAGTTTACTAAATAAGGTTGAATAAATCATCACTATTATTAAGAAACAGCATAGGTCATATATATTCACGCTTATAATAAGTCAGCACATATTCTATATAATCAAAGTTCCAGACCAAACTATTCTTAAATCTACTCATTTTACCTTGAAAAATTTTTTCACTTCTAAATTGTCTATATCAAGCAGAACTTTAGCGTTGAGAGAAAAAAAACTTCTTTTTATTTATGTGAGTTATTTTTGAAAATATTATGAGTTTAAAAATCTACAATAATTTTGTTTAGGAAATGAAATTTTTATAAAAATAGAAGAAATTTTAAAGAGGATATTTATGAATGAAAGACGCATGTAAAATTTTTCAAGATCACGAAAATTCTTCTCCTGTAGAAAAATAAACAAATGGTTATTAGTCTAAAATTGTTATTGATTATTACATAATATTTTAAGAAATATAAACACGTTTTACCAATGATCATGTAATATTTGTATAATACCTCCTTGATCAATATTTCTTATTTTAATATAAATTTCAGAAATTTTAGTAAGCTGTATAATTTTAAAGTTCAACAAAATGCAGGCAAAAAAATCAGAAAATATAAAAATGTTAGTTTTTCTGAAAAAGAAATTATTTATAATCATTACATAATTTATGCATTGAGAAACAGTTTAACAATATAATCAGTTAATCAGAAGATAATTTTAGATTTATACTCAGCAACTCTCGTGATAAATTACTTAACTATTAGATTTTAATAGACTTGCCTAATATGAAAAAAGATTAACATACTATAAATGAAGATTATTTTATATAGTAGAATTGATTAAATATTAATATAAATCATGTGAATATAGCAGAATATTTGGCGATGTGTAAAAATTTTATTGAGAAATAAAAAGATAACAAAATACATCAATATAGGAGAAAAAGAAAATACATTTATAAAAAGCTATCTATAACAACTATTACTAGCTATAAAAGATAAAGAGAGAAAGCGTATTCTATAGAATGACTAAAAAAGTAATGGCAAAGCGTAGTTCTATGACAAACAAAAATGCTAATAACATCTCTTCCTGATAAAAATATTTAGTAGTAAAATTAATTATTAAGAGATACGTGATAAGAAAAATTAAATTCTTTATTTCTCTGATGAAGTTACTCTAATATTCTTCTAAAGTTTTTCTGAATTTGGTTTAAATTATTCTGGAGATTTTGAACTGATTAGACATCTTTGTAACTTTGGAAGTGATCAATATCAGCTTTTGCACAATTATATTAAAATAGAAGACCCTTATATTCTACTTTAAGATCTTGATATTGACGCATATTGCGAGATAAATAAGAAGATAAATGATGAATTTCATTAGATAAACTATTTACTTGAGATAAAGAGGAATTTAATAATTGTTGAAGCCTGTGATTTTTAATATCAAGTTCATCTATTCTTTATTATTTTGTTTCTTCTTCTTAATTTCAAAGGTTGTATTAATGACGTGAAAAAAATTGTTTTTGAAAACTTTTGTTCATGTTAAAAATATAAAAGCTAAAAATTTTACAATAGTTTTAGTAAAACTGATAAAATTTGATATAAACAGAAAAGATTTTTAGACAAATATTTATAACAAAATATTGTGGCTATAAAAATTCTCAAGATTGTGAAAATTTTTCTCCCTATAAGAATATAAACAAATAGTTATTGGTCTATTTTATTGATAATTATCAAGTGCAATTATGCAATCTATTAAATAGAATTTGTAATTTTATAGAACAAATTAACAATTTAGAATTTTTGTAAAAATAAAAATCTTAAGCAAGAAGTAATGTGAATAGATAAATATGATATAGTTTATATGACGCAGAAGAATAATTAATTTATATAGATAATATATTAGACATAATCGACATAACTGACATATTAGACATATCAAATATATGTGACATAACTGACATATTAAATATGTCAGATATATGTAACATAATTGACATATTAGACATAGCTGATATATTAGATATATTAGTTATATCTTTCTATATAATATATTTATATAAATAGGTAACTTGTTAGTTTATGTAAAAAGGAGAGAAGATAACTTAAATAGTTTTAATAGTGAGTGAGTTATTGTTAGCTGACGTAAATAACCAATCCTAAAGGCCTATCAACATAGATAACTAATCTAGAAGATAGTATAATAGAAGCAACCAGATCTATCACATTACATTACAGTTTAGAGATAATCAGGCCTATCATATTACATTACAGTTTAGAGGCAACTGGCTTATCACATTACATTATAGTTTAGAGGCAACCAGACCTATCTCATTACATTATAGTTTAAAGGTAACTGGCCTATCATGTTATATTATAGTTTAAAGATAACTAACCTATCACATTACATTCTAGTTTTAGTATTTCATTTTTATTTCTCTTTTCTTATTTTTATTATTTTACTTATAAATAAACATATTATTTTACAAATATAAATCACTGACAATCTGTTGAATTACCATTTGTATAATAGTATAAACACTTTTGATAATCAGTCTGACGTAAAACTTGCAAACTGTTAAAAGATTACTGTTTAATTAAAAAGAATAAACTACTCAAATACCCTGTCTAACAGTCGTAAAGCTCTGAACAGTTTGGATTAATCCGAAAATTTTCAGTTCAGATTAACTTTGGTTCAGTTTCAGATTGCAAAAAATTCAATCCGAAAATTTTGGTTCAGTCCAGATTTTTTTCGGATTATAAATCTAATCTGAACTAAAAAAAATCTGAACTGAACTGAAAATTTCAGATTAATCCGAAATTTCAGATTATTTAGAATGATTAAATTTATCATTCTAAACGAACAATAAGAAAATCGTTCGATT